ATGATCTATGTTTTCACTTCAACTTCACTCATTATTCATTATCAAAAACATTTGTTTGCCAAACCACAGCTATCTTCAATCGAATCATTAACCATTAGTTTTACCATCCTCCATTTTGCTTCTTAAACTTGTTACTGTGAAATGTAGCTATTTAGGTTGATATATAACTGCAATGAGTTTAAAGTAATTGTTGATAAATGAAGCAGAAGACATTCTACATTCAAAATGTGACCTGATGGTCATACGTTCAGTTCAGCAGTCACTGGGGTAGTTTTACTGGTGTCTTATCAATTGTCCATCATTTGGAAAGTGGTTTATGGTCGTGTTATCCTTGTTTCAGTAATTTCTTTACTTTGGGTGCTTGAGGATTTTCATCACTTAAGCTAATCACTCGCACTATTAATTTCCAGATTATGTATTAGGTTAGTGGGGATATGTCTCACTGATCTAGATACTCGACTTCGAAGTAATAAGTTGAGAGTCCGAAGCTTCTTCCACCTGCTGAGATCTTGGCAGTCGAGAGGTATCATTAGTCCCCTGAAAATAATCTTAGCTTATTGGTTAATTCACACATGTCTGAGTAGTCTCTTCAATTCTTCCTGTTCCCTACAATAAGTAAGGTACAGACACACGTTCTCACACTAACGTATGATCTAAGTCCAAACATATGCTTCATAAGGAGCATCTAACTTCCTGAGAGGTAGCTTATAGTAGTTTAACTTATCTGCGTTCATGGTGTGTTTTATTTCAGTGGATGCGAAGTGAGACGGCTCTCTCCTCATGCTCTAAGTTATTGCTTGCTAGAAGCAAGTGACTGTTTGAGCGAATTTCAACATATGATTAGCGTTGCTGTTCAGTTGGTATGTGACGCCGTAGATACCTCTTAGACGCTTTCTTGATTAGCTGGGCTTCCTTAGCTATGCGTTGACGTCGCCTGCTACTATAACAGTATCTGAATCCTTTGCTTTTCTTGGCAAAATCGACGGCTTTTGGTGGAACCCATCATTTGCCTCGTCAGGACTGAAGTCGATGGCTGTGACAGCGGAGACTGTGGACAGATATCAGTTATTGTCACGATGGTCCTCGATTCTTACAGATCTATTCATTCTAGCTGTTGGCTCGCGTTCAGTTGAGAAGTTTATTTTCTCCTCGAGAACTTACCTACATTAGCGAATCTGTGAGGTCCAGATATTGAATCTTTTCAGATTCACCTAACTGGAGTAAATAACCACGCAAGTCATGTATCTGTCTCAGAAACACAAAATACAGTGATGGCTAGAGATTCCATTATTTTGTCAAAAGCTGTCTGTTGCTGGACTTGGCATAGCTTTCGGATTCTGGAGGTAGAGGCGTGGTTCAATGTTTTAAAATGACTATTAACCACTGGATCGTGGCCTCGAAACCTGCTCCACTTTTACAATTTTTATTTGACAAAAATATGAGTCTGATCGTTTTTAGCTTATTCAACTTCGCTACTTTATTGTTTTCCAAAATAATTCAAATTATGAGTTTCTCTGTAGACATTTGAATAGAAAGTATGCTGTAGACTTCTTACGCTCTAAGTTGTATAGTTTTGAGTCGCATCATTCAACTTATGCAACAACCAAGAAGTCATAAGCAGCCAATTTTCTTTACACACAGCAGTGTAGAAAGTATACAAACCCAACACAGCTAAGGATGTGTGTAAAATCTGTGCAAACGACCTAATTATAAGGAATATTTTGAAATATGAACACCTGAGAGCCGGTGAGATTTTTATAGATGTTACAAAACAAATGAATAAGGAGAAAGGTAAGATATATTCTAGCTGTATACTCTTTGCAAGCAGTCTAAACCTACAGAACTTTAAAGATTAAGTTCCTCCCTCCACTTACACCAACTTTTCTATTTCATTTCTTTCTGCTCTGTAAAGGAATAACAAACACTCTGTTGACTGCACGTAAGACACTTCTAAAACAATAAGCTGCCGATATGAGCATTCATAACTGCCAACTATGTTACCCATCAGTACTTTACAAATAAAGGCATGATTTTCTTAAGGGCCAATAAACTCATGACATCATATCGTATGCACCCAACTATACAGGGTCTATTAAAAGGTAGGTATGTGCTCTTCATTGTTTTAACTAAAAAACTCAACTTATTATCAAAGATGAGGAGAGGAATGTCGCAGGTGATGCCTCCTTAAACTTCGTGTGATATTATAAGGCCTCTCTCCTATTTTTTTATTTAATTGCCATCAGAAAGTGAATGAGAATCGATTTACTTAACATCGATAATTTAAGTAAACTAACCTCCACATTTCGGATGACTAGGAGGAATGATAGTGAGTTCATTCAGTTAAAAATTTTCCAGACAGCTTCATAAATATATATCTGAGGAAAGTTAGCAAGTTATCACTACTATTATTATTATTATTCGACCATTGTGTTTCTAGTTGAACATAGTGCTTCAGTAGTACGTCTCCATTCCACTCTCTTCTCTGCAGTCTTTCATATCTGGCACCACGACTGCTCACAAGCCTTCATTTCTTCCTCACACCATCTCCTCCATGTCACCCTCACCTCGAACACCCAACTCGTCGTTTCCCATCTGGGTTCCACTCCAGCGACTGGCCTGACGCGTGATGTCCCGAGCCAACCTTCTCAGTGAATGCCCAATCCAATCCATCCCCACTTCCTTCTACATGTTTGTTGGGTGATAGATTCTTGGTTGGTTCGTTACCAGACACACTGAGTTCCTTGTTGTTTATTCTTTCTGGCAATCCATCTGAGCTTCAGTAACGAGCCAGCGTAGGCAGTCGTTGATGAATATCTGTAGTTTGTTGGAAATGTTTTTCGTGACACGCCAAGTCTCTGAATCATACAGAAGCATTGACTTGACGTTGGTGTTGGAAATCCACTCCACTCAGCTGAGTGGAGTGCAGAAGATCTCCACACTGGTTTCAGGTTAATGCAGGAAGGCCTGTCTTGCTTTTCCAATCCTGGCTTTGACATCCTCGTCTGTGCTGCCTGTAGTTGAGACTGTGCTGCTTAGGTAGGTGAAACAGACTACTTTCCTTAAGTTTCTCCCGTTGATGGTGATTGATGCTTGTTGTTTATGCTGTTGTTGGTTGGGCATCTTCATCACTTGAAGTCCCATCTTCGCTGCTTCGCCTGTCAACTTGTTAGTTTTCACCTGTAGATCTTCGAGTTTGGGCGACATTAGCAAGTTAAAACTTCTTTATTCCGCAATGTATTTCGCTTAACGTTAAGCTTTTACAGTAACTTGCGCTGGCCAGAAATCATAAGTGGAATTTAATATTTTACCAGTGGAAACTGAATACGTCCCAGTAACTTGTTAAGGTGGTGATATGAGCACTTTTTGATACAGGTTTCAATATCTGAGACAACAACAGCGTTGACTGTTTACCGGAGAGCAACCATTTTTATGCTGTTTAATACTGAGTACTGAATGAAGTCTGTCGATCATTTTGCAATGTCATCACCAGTCCAGAAGGTTCACCATTGCGGTGCACTTAGATGGATGTTATTCGATTGTATACAATTACCAAGAAATCCTGAACCTAGGTTTTTTACTGATTACTTCCAACCAGTTAACAAATGCAACTTATTTCAATAGCACCAGCACTCTTGTTGAAAATCTGATTCATCACGGGGTTAGATATACAGAAACACTTCAGCAAGTAAATAAACGTAAGTGGCCTTTATTTTCATCTATTCCAGGGACTTCAAATGGAAGTATTCAGGGATTAGTCATCTCAATCTACTGTTAACTGTTATTGGAGTTAATAAATAAGACTGAATAGAATATGGAAACGAAAATAAGTACCTAAAACCAGCATTTATAATGTTCTCTTAAACAGAAATAAACTATTGAAATATTTGTTAACTTAGTAAAGCACTTTTTTTCATCAACGATTCCAGCATTGTTAGCTGTTACAACAACTGGTGACAAAATCAGTTTCCATTTTTTCCTGTACATAATGTAGAAATCTATGTCACGATAGGCGGAAGCGTTTCCATATGGTTAACGGTTTGTCCTAGAGTTTTCAGTAAGGACTCCAGTGAGACAGGTAAATTCAGTTCATTCTTATTTCGAATTTTCCAGTTTAGTTCGTTGTGAATCAAACTATATTGAGTTTTAGACCGTATTAGACAGTCACTACTGTGTACTGAATTACAGTCCCTAATTGAGAAATGTTAACGTTGTAAAGCATTTTTTGCCACCTGGTTTCTATAAATAATTGAACCACAGTTATTTTCAAATGATGATCAGCTGAATGTTAGGCATTTTTCGCAAAGTGATATGAAGCGTTCGTAAGTAGTGAACAGTTGTGTGACACAGCTATGATTCAACTTCACCACTGTTAAAACTTCAAAGGCATAATTCAACTGATCTTAAGATATCAAGTTTCTTGACAATAATGAAACCAATGTATTAACATTAAACTGAATAATAGTGTCCTTACCCTTACTTGATGATCGAAAGTGATGTATAATCAGACAATATCGTTACATAATTCGAAAACTTTAAATTATCAACTTTTATGCACTAAGAAGTATACAATTTTCTCAGTGGAAAGCATCGAATTAAACACAAAGTTTTGAATCAATATTCAGCGTAAATGTCTAAACATTTTTATCTCTTATATCCCTCGACACAAGTCTACTTAATAAAAGGTTATTAATCTCCTAAGCCCACAGATTTATCAACTAGGCTATTAATCATGTACAATATTTTGTATCTAGGGATGTGATATCGATAATGAAACGATTTTTCTACATTCGGCACACTTATTGAAGGTCAAATACGCTAATTAATGACAACCTGGTCCCCAACAATTTTCAGAATATCGGCAGTTTACATTTCAGATCTTCTCAAGTATTTTCTAATAATTTGGAAGTTTCACGTATTGAGTACGATATATACACATAAACACTTTTTCAGATAAAAGTCCATATATTTTCTTCAGTACATATTTCCTTTTTATTTCTTAGCTTTAATGCATGCAGCAGTGTTTGGCAATGTGACAGCGATTATTCAACGCATTTATGCACGTCGCACAACTTTCCAATCAAAGGTTCAAGATTTGAAAGAATTTATTGAAGTTCACAGAATACCAAAAACACTAAAAAATAGGATGGAAGATTTTTTTCAAACAACTTGGGCTATCAACCGTGGAATCGATGTGCCAGACGTAAGATATTTTTCACCAGATAACTGAAAATTTATGCCTTAGTGTGAAAACACTTGTTGTGACCTTTCTTTTCTGCGTAGTCGATTCAAGATTATACATTTAGATCATTCGGAAAAGATGGTTTTAATAGTTACTTCTGAATTTCTTACCTTGAACACAGCTTTTATGATACTGATCGAAAAAAAGCGATCTTTTGGAAATTCCAAAGATGATAAAACAAGTTATATATTTAAGCTTACTATTTTTCAATACTGTGATCCCTCAGACATATGTTGATGTGTACTTAAAACTTCTAGCGGAAGGAGAAACAAAACCCAGCTCATGAAATTTGTAGCGGTAATCATTTCGTCACATAGGACTTATTTATTCAAGACAGGCATCAGATATCAGACATCATTAAGAAACTTCCGAAGTGTTGATTTTACTGAAAATAAGAGTACAATACAAACCCATTTATCCTCACAATCTTAGTATCTACTTCGATCATGTTCTACATCAGATATCAGTTGTGTGCATTCAGTTACTTGCGTTTCATCGAATGAAATTCAATTTTTAACATTTTCAGTAAATTTAAACTCCACTTCCTTAGAAACCATACTTTATCTCTTTCAGATAATATCCATTTATAGGGGTAGACACTGACATTTTTCAGAATTTTAGTCAACCAGCACTAAAATATGACATTATATCGCTGTGTCAGATACATGGTAGCAAAACTAAATGCTCAGGAAGAGAATTTATGTCAAAAAAGTGGTGAATCGCTATAGAGCTCACAAAAGAACAAAGGCGAATTGAGGTATATGAAATAATGTTTAGGTTAAAGATATTTTGCTTATGAACCTGCATTGTAGTCACCTCCTATTAAACACATCGTCAGTCTAGCTTGCCATTTGGCCTACAACCGGTTGATTTATCTTTCTGCGAGTGGTACAAAGCGTCAGTTGAATACATTATGGACTGTTGCCTAGTCCAAACCTTGTCACTCGATTTTTCTTTTACAGAATAACCATATCCTCGATAATACTATTAATTTTGGTAAACTGTTACTAGGCATTAAATGGCACATCCTAGGTCCTCCTTTAGATATAGGCATGCACTTTAACATACTGGCTTACACATTCTACCTGGATTAAAGTGAGCAGCTGTTATGTTTCTAATTGTTCCACTCCTTAAAAAGATCTTATATAAGTGATGGGAAATACCTAGAAGTCCCTATTTTATTACTTCAATCCATTTGGAGAAACACTTTCAACTAAGTATGACTAGGTTTATGCAATATCAAGATTGAGCGTTCACCAGTATGTCTGTTTGGTCAGGTTAACGTTATGTTAACTGAAGGTGTGACTGAATTGGACTCGGTGCTTCGAAACAAGACAGTTCATGTTGGGATGAAAAAACATACTGGAATTTAATCATCAGGATACTTAGTGACTGATACTCCTGTCCGAAGGAAAATTTTAGGGTATTCACAGAATACTATCAAACGCAATAAAAGTAGTTTGAATAAGGTAATTAAAACAAAATTTTCAACACACATTGCCTTGTTTCATTCTCTTTGTCTTCCTGAAGCAAATAAAGATTAATGTACCTCACAATTAAATATCCATATTTCACCAAACGCCTGTAGGAAGGCTTTAAGTTGTACGGTTCGAATAAGGCAGTTATTTAATGATGGCTAGTGGTTAGGATTAGGATCCAGGACGTGCGTTTCGTCCTGTTTGGGACTCATCAACGGGATCTATAGGTCTCTTAGTGAACAATGTTGTTCCTACTAAGACCCAAAGTCGAGACCGACCCCTTCAAATGCCAGAGCGTTATCCACTAGACTACCGGGTCAAGATAGCCACTTCTTGTGCGACAAGTATGGTATTAATATTGTCACTTGTATTATCCCGTCATTTTTATTTGACCGGTCTTAACTAGCATAAAGGCTCCTATATGGATGCCTCAGTATTGCCTGTTCCTATCGACTAAGTCAGTCCAATCAACGACGGGCAATACAAGTGACATCATCAAAGCAGTAATTTGTTTTGATTGAATCTCTTGAACTTATGACAGTAAATAAGGAGCTGGAGAATGGTTACTCTCCAAGACTTATTGAGAGGAACACGACACCTAAGAATTTTAAAGAAGATCATACGGTTCCAAAGAAGACGTTTTATAACCATTGCACTGGCAGAGATACTGAAGAATTGACCGTGCGAAGCGCTGAGGAAGACTTTCTTCCCCGCTCAACTTCGTATTGTTTCCTCCACTTAACAACTGATTCGAGGGTATGTAAAGGATAAACTACCGCTTTGGATCACCTCTATGTATGTTTACCAATTCACCTTTTGTGTACAGCTGGTTACATAGTCCGCAAAAAGTATGTTCTATACAAACGGGTCTTCCAACACCATATCGCTTGACTATCTAAAAGATACTGTAAAGCCGTCAACAGCTAGATTCCTGAACATTTTGTTATCTCTGGTCGCTGTGCTGAACAGTAGTCTTCTTTCAAATTCATTTATAAATTGAGGACAAGCACTTCGAAGGGGGTACGTATTTACCACCTGAACACAGCAGAAGCTCTGGTAATCCAGGATTCTAAGCCTTCTCTTTGTAGTCAAAAAAAAGATAGATTCACTTTCCAATTTTACATTAATTGTAATTGCCCTAAGAATGTTCGTCCATTTCTTTGTTTATTTCTTATAATCCTGCAATCAACTTTTGATGACTTTAATTTAATCTTCTAGCCATCATCAACTTTATCTACCTTTACTGATAACCACTCGTTGACTCACCAGGCACTGATGTATATATATATTTTATTGTGTGATTACGGCTATACAGCTTTTATTTGTGGAAAAACATTTTCTCCGCTGAGTTGTCTTTTAATGATGGTAATGTTAGAGAGGTCAGAGTAATGATTATCCGCAGTAGTTAGCAGGTTGATAATCGAAAGCATCGAATAAAATGTGAATGCTATAAAACTATGTATACATCAAGGAGTTGTACTCATTACCCAAAAGAAAAGGGAGAAAAGGGAATAAAGACCTTGGAGTTTCTAACCAACGTAGCTGTAGGTTAACTACCGGTTCTTTTTAAACACATAAACCAGGCGTTAGACTTTTAGTTAAGATAGCTTCTGTGAGCCGAAGCAAGGTCAAATTAACCCTGTCGATTGATCATTTTGAAGACATTTTTGACCTCTTATTGGTTTTTCTGGTAAAGCAAATAATGAGTGATTGGAGCATTGATATCATTCGGTCATTTAAGAAGTAGATATCTCGAAAAACTTTAAAGTAAACTATTAGCATTTCCCTCCTACTATCTTCTTAATATAACTACTTGGTCAAATACAAGCGAAGGAGTAATTGTAGTTGGCGGAAAAATAAGATGGACATTTAAATTCTTTCGTCTACATTATTGAATACTCTGTACCTTGTACATATTGCGAGATTGCTTTTGGAGTGAGAAATGTGTTACAAAACAAATGTTCTTTTTATTTGGACTCCTTTGAGTCCGAGCTTCATAAACACCAACTTGGCACAAAGAGTAAGTCCATAAGATGCTTAAAATCGTTTTAATTTACCCATAGTATGCTGTATGAAATATAGAAAGGTATGCAGACAGCAAGATCTTTTCAGCAAAGAAGAAATGACCAGCGTAATCTACAAAGTTATTTGTGGTAAATGACAATTGTACTATGTAGGACAATCAAGTAGACCGGCATTACAACGCCTGCATGAACATACGCTAAATTTCAAACTTCATGATATGAAGTCTCCCACTTCATTAGCTTGTAACCATTTCTTGTTTGACTGGGAAACTTTCTAAATACTTCAGCATGCAAACTGAAAAGAGGTCAAAGAAACTTTTTAGGCCTAGCTCCCAAGTAAATCAGCAATACGTTTCCGTGTTAACTTAGACGAAAAGTACGAGCCTTTCCTAAGTAAGTTAGTGACAGAAATCAACTGACTCTAATGGGAAGGAAATCAAGATTTAACCAAAGTTGAGACCGTTAGTCATCTAAATGAAGAAAACTCACGTATACTTACCACAACTACTTTCCTTGACTAGTCATTACCAAAAGACCTCTGTCTCGTGGAAGCAACATTCAGTTGTAACAAGCCTAACTTTGAGTGTAAAGCAAACAATTCAGTCAATCATATCAAGGTGACATTCATCACTTCAATCAAGCAAGAATGTCAACTAATCAGATCTCAGCAGTATTCGCCAATTTATCCGAACAAAAGAAACCAACCAGTCATAGCGGAGTGACCTTAATCTTCTGTAGGCTAACGATATATCCAAATAATGACGTTTGCATACTTTTCTAAAAACCACAGGTAAGAGGTCAACCAATCAGAAACAATATAGACACATACACCCTCCGAGTAAACAATAAAGATAGGCTCAGACGAAGTCATAGATCAAAAATACCCATGAACCTCCGATAACTTCACATCTTTATAAGCCCTCGATGCAGTGGTAACCATGTCTAGCATGACCTTGAAACATTTGCCAGGTAAGACTGAGTGAATGACCCAATGGGACAACAATACTCTGAACTGTCAACATTCACTACTAGATATATGCATAAATGAATGATAAATCATCTCTAGATTTTATTCCTTTGTATTGCGATTGTTTTGTTCACAAAACTGATTTCATTGCACAACTATCACTAGACTGGTTATTATTTCACCTCCAAAACGCTTACTTTCAGTTGGTTTCAGTAGAAAATCCTTATTTTAGAGGCATTCAAAAGATTACCTCTATAAAAAGCACACATTTTTTTGTGTCTGAAGAAAACGATTCCCCTGTTAACTTCAACTAATTTATATAAAGGCTCCCTATAGTTAGCCTTGAAACATAAAGTCTATGCAGTATTTGCAGTTAGAAAGGTATTCGAGTGAAAATACTTATATTTATAACTGTCAAGTGAAAGACACTAGTTCCCTTGTCGATTAGCTTAAGAAAGTACTGTTCCGACACCAAGCATAACTTTCAACCGACTATTAACTAATGTCGAACATAAAGTAACTCTACGGTATATTAAATGAGATTATTTTCATATATGCACTTTACATTCTAATTTCTTATCGTTTTTGTTCAGGTTTTAAAAATTTATCCAGAAGAACTACAAGGTGACATCTACTTACACTTAAATCGTGAAGTACTTGGCTTAAAAGTGTTTGAAAAGGCTAATCGTGACTGCCTGAAATGTTTAGCTATTAATTTCAAGCTGACATTTTGTACACCCGGAGAATATCTAATACACACTGGAGATATATTACGTCGTTTATACTTTGTCTCGAATGGATCACTTGAAGTTTTAGAAAAAGATGAAGTAGTTGCACTACTTGGTAAGACGACTCTTTTTTGTTTAGTCTGCTAACATTATTTTAATGCCTACTTATTTGTGAAAATCGACCATAACCGCGTTTTGTTTACAGTGGTTTTATTAAATGTACGGCGAAAACTTTTATTCAACACAGCATTCATGCCATACTCATTGGCCAATTTGCAAAAAGGAGATTTATTTTTAAACTTTTTAGAATGACTGATAAACGATTCACTTATATGGAAAACATTTTTCAGTGAAAGTGTCGATTGAAATGGTATGCATTGCTTCACATACAGTTTGTTATGCTAGTGAGCCATTCAAAAAAGATGCGTAAACGTGGCTCAGTCCAATGAATAATAGAAAGGACGAAGAGACCCCGAAAACAACAATAATCTGTTAAGAGTTCCGTGACTTAAGCTGATATACATCACTTTATTTGAATAAAGCATTTAATCTTGTGATCTGATGCTATTATGTTCTATTGTAGTGATGAACAGCCAGATAATAGTTGTTTTGAACATCCGAAGAGAAGTAAGAACAAATTCAGATTGCATCATTATAAGAAAATATTCTAGTCTGATCGGCGATAAGCAGTAGATATGCACCTAAATGAACGTGAAGATGAGATCTATTTTCATGATATAAGCTTACAATGAAAGATTTTCTAACAAATTTGATCTGATATAACTGAATAAGTTAGACATTGGTTAGATAAAATATAAAGAAGATCATAGAAACCGTAGATCATGGATTCAGCATGAAACATGAACTTTGCAACTATAGAGCATATCGGAGAAGTCACTGCTACTTCACTCGTTTGTTCACATAGTTTCATTCAAAACGTGAAAAGTGTCGAATTAAAACAAAGTTTGCATGTCTTTGTAATGTAGCTGTTTTCTGAAGATGCGCCTCCCACAAAGTTACGAAATGTCAGGAATTTGTTTTTCTACCTTATCGTGATTTGACGAACATATTTAATTTATAATATAATGCAGAACTGACATCAAAAGCCCTATACTTTTGAAGACATTTTATCTTATAGGCAGAATGAACTTGTCATCCATTTTGCATATACTAATCGGACAAAACCATTAAAGATGACAATTTCTGACTCAACCTTTAGAAATAATAAACATGTATTAGTGATGGATAGTGGCTAGAAGTGGAATCCAGATTACGCATTTCGTCCCATTTGGGACTCATCAGCAATAACAAGCAATGTCAATAAACATGTATCTTTGAAATTCCATAGAAGCACACAGAAAAACACTTTTAACGTATTCAGTAACACAAGTAGTTGAACTTCCCCACAATTCTGAATGACAGTTATCAATAACAATAGGAATTTGTAATGAGTAACGATAATTACTTAGTCTGAAGAACAAATTATCTAACCAATGAAATATATACAGAACTCATGTTGATACTGGGTGATGATTAAAAATGAAGTGAAATTGTGAGTAGCGGACGGGTTCGAACCAACGAACTCTGGCTTACCGTCTCACTGCTTTACTTAATCCACCTTCAATCGTGACCCAGTACCAGTAGTTTGAGTCTATCAAACCACAGTTGTCTCAGATAGTCACACTTTTAAAATGTTATATTAGATATTTCACAAACATTCTAATATTCTGTGTAAAAAGTCCTGGCTAAGGTAGAGATACTTTCAGAAAAATCTTTCAATTTGCTAATCACTCTGGGATTTGGTTGCTTTGTGTCACAGACACGTTTAGAATAAAAGTTTAAACACAATAATCAGATTTTCAAGCAATTATGTCTATTCGAGCAAAGTTGCTAGTTGTGATCACACCAACTAACTGAACAGTAGGAATACAATTCCATCTGCTAGTGTGATCAAAGGCAATAACTGATCGCAATATTAATAAAACTATCTGATTATTGTGTACAAAAATACATTAAAAATTTATTTAGTATATTATATGTCAGTTATGATAATTTAATTGTGCTTATTAAAGACTTGATGTTTTACTCGTATTTTCATCTACATACACGGATATTTCAGCTGCCTCGTCCTAGTGGCGGCTAAAATGGTAACTTGCTGGCCACGGTAAACTAAGGTCCTGAGTTCAATCACTGGCATGACGAGATCATGGGTGCTTACTGCTGAGGAGTACCTAAATGGGACGTAACAACTGTCCAGTGCTTTTAGGTATCCAGTGTTCCTCTCACTGATATCAGTCCATGATGAATACCAACTTGAAACACAGATATATTTTCTGAATAGAACTTTAACCTAGATTAAGTCTTACGGAAACGTTTCACTCATCTAACTTCTCTTACTCATCTACTTCTCTTAAATACTCTATACTAGAGTTATATCCTACACTTCCTCGTTCTGCTATTCAAAATTATTTAATCATAAAGGTGAACAACAGACTATAAAGTTTAATCAGCAGAGCCCATTTTAAAAGAAAGTGCTCCAATTTGATACGGCCTTAAATGTAAGTATGCAGGGTGTTGGTTAGAAATCCAGTTCATGTACAGAAATCAATGAACTCTCATTAGACTGACTTTCAAGTGATGAATACTTAGGGATATCTAAGTATGCACAACTACAAATCGCTTCTTTCTTGAAAATTTATTTGTTTCACCTAATCTTTTCCATTAAAAAATTCAAAAGGAGGAAGAACGACCAGTTTTCTTCCTTCCTCACTGAAGCCTTGAATTCTGTATTACTCTTCTTGTCATCATCGATCACATCACCAATCCTCCTTTTTCATCAGTCTTCGTGAAATGATAAAATAAGATTAAAAGCACAGTTATTGAGAAGTAGAGTTCTTGTTGAATGTTTTTCCTTTATTTAAATTGTCTGACTTACTGGTTCACGTTTCATTACAATTACTTAAACATTTGACAAGGTCTATCATTACTGAGTTGGAATGAAATGAACTAAATAAAGTCTTGAGAACTACTAGAATACAACAGTTCTGTATAGACACATATCTAAACCACGATCATGTCTTTCGTTCACTAACAATCAAGCAACTCATTCACCTTGTTCATCTTCTGGGACCAAGGTTAGTTTGATTCTGTCCAGCACAGCATTCATACATAGTAAATGTTCAATTCATATACCTCCATCATACATTCAAGGTAGGATCAAATATTTTGTGTCTTACTTTCCCAACCATGTGTATCTGGGGATATTGTTGATCTTATTATCACTCCTTTAGTTTGTTGGCATATTTTATTTTGTATTCCATCATCTGTAGAGTTGAGATACTACTAAACTTCTAACATGATATTTGCAGCCTGTACAAAAGTTCCATTAGTGAGACTGGCACCTTTTTGATATTCCTTTCAGATTGCCTCTACATCCCCACTGTTTAATTCACTTATATGTTAGCTTGATAGACAGGAATTAAATTTTCTTTCGTATTTTTCTGGCTGTATATTATCTAAGCTTTGTTTCATTTCATATGAAATGGTTAGTCTAGAGTATGAGCAATTTCTGAAACAGCATTGCATCGAAACCAAGCATTTTGATAGTTCAAATGCTGCGATTTTCCCAAGGCTAACTACTGGTTTTATGAAAATATTTAGTTTGTGGACCGTACATTCTACGAAGACCCATTCATAGATAACTTCAAGTGGTGTAGTACATCAGCTGCAGACTTCTCGTTCTTATTTAAAGCAGTGTCTACAGATTTTTGATTCAATTCATATAGGCTCATTTGGACATGTTCATTGACTTTCATGAAGTAATCCGATTTGTTTATAACTGCTGCTGAATTTCGGTCATCAAAGTTGTAAAAACAGAATCCTGTACTTCTATGAAATGATCATCAACACACAACAGCAGAAGTTTAATAAAGTGAAAGAAATAGAAGTTAAGATAAAATAGTCGAATGCTGTAAAAGTAAAACCAAATAAATTATAAAGTAGAGCAGATTTATAGGCTAATTAGGTTACAACTATCTCGCCCATGCTAGCATGATGACCATTGGACTGTATCAACTATGGTTCACAGTCATCCGTTTTTACTAGTTCGTTAATCCCTAGTCACAAGCTTACATATCGATAGGCGACTTAAACTAACAGGAACCCACTCGAAACACTGATGCTTTGTCTTCACTTGCCCAGTTGCTACTTTGTTTCCAACCTCATGAGCCATCAGCAATAATCGTAAGTTTCGAATTTCCCTAGATATATTCTTGTTTGTTACCTCAAATGTAGCAAAAAAGCAGCAGAAACTGATAAAGAGGAAACTGAATTCTAGATGTCAAAATGCTCATCCTTGTCAGTAGTAAGGAAGGAGGGGTTATCGGCAGTATAACTTGAAATTATTACTCAATCACTGTTCAGACTTGTATTATTCAAGGCTGACTTTGAGACACTGGATGTTGTCTTCTATGTCTACAGGCCAGAAGTATGCAACAAAATAGAAGGATAGACATTATCTCGTCAGTGGTATAAACAGACGTTTCGACTGTAACTTAGGCATTCGAACTCACAACTTCAGTATCAAATGGTATGTGCTACAAGTTCATATGTCCAGATTTCATTGTTTTGCTGAAACAGATATCCTCTGTCAACAACTAAACCCATATAGCAATAGCACTCCGAAATTATTTTCTACTTAAAAGCTTTGTTATTGAAACTTTTGCTGTTGAAGCAACGTAGAATACAATCATTCTTTTGGAATTAAACAATGAAGTACATAACGCAAATTGTTTTAAAAATCCCCATTACAATTTAAAGGCCATTTGAGTGAACAAAAATATCCTTTTCAATAACTTCTTCAGGTTCCAAAATTACGTGTACGCAGTGAATAATTACGCACCAGAAATGCAGATATTCTGCTCATCAGTTTGTTATTAATATTTTACATTTGAGGAAGTCAAGTGAGAAAAGTTGTGTGATAGAATGGTAAACGTTTCATTCATATCCACCACACGGTCCATTTCAACAAAGTATCCCAGTATGGAGCTGGTAATGGTCTTTACCACTCCTTTACGTAGCTACGCTGAGAAGTGTTTGCAAGCACGAAATATTAAATTCCTAGAGTAGCGGTTGACGTAAGTGGCTCCACAGGAGCAGCCGAACTGATAAATGCAACAGTAAGTGGCCAGTTTAGGCAGTTCATCTTTTAGTCTCAATGTCATCACTAAGCGTGTGGAAAACGAAGTTTGCAGTTTACTTGCTTGGAAAGTTCTCTGAATTGTGAATTAATATCTTGCTGAGCATGTCACTTCTAAATTTTACCCGAATGTACAGCAGCTTTCTGCTAGATGTTAGAACACCCTTCCCTGATATTTTTGTAACTATGCGCTTTTTTAGTTTCTCGGAACACATAATTTCGACTGGTGTGTTACACAAAATCACCAGTTCTTTCTGAAATAAAATCTTCCAAACATTTAATCAATTATCCTGTAACTTAAAGTTTTTTCAAAATTTCTTTTGAACTGAATAGGGACGAATATCAGAAAATGTGTATTGCATCGTCTTCATACGTTTTCTAAACAAACCCCTCTTTATCTACTTGTATTTTCGTCTCCAGAGAAAGAAACATCGAGAAAAGCTATCTTCCCCTCTGATTTCTCACATGTAAACTTTGTAGCTGGGCAGACTGCGTTGAATCTGTTGACTGTCTTTGACCTATGGATTTTGATTTCTCATAGGATGAATGTATAACCCATGTACTGACAGTAAAATTAAAATTCTCTGATGGGTCGTTCAAGTAAACCTTTCTCTAGTTTCGACTATAAAAGGTCTGCTAACATATGATTGACTGTCCAGCTCATTGAGATCCTGTTTATATGGTCAGACATTAAACTTAAGGTTAAAGTCACCCTTAAATATGAGCAACAATTTTTTGAGGACATCTATTAGGATTCAAACATTGATAGACTTTTCTTCCAACTAATCAACTATATAGTTGACTGTCTGAAGAAGAGGAACATTTGTAAATAGAGATGTTACATCCAGTAACATCATAGTTTTATTCATGGTGTTAGCATTCAGGATTCTCCCTTTAAGTTTTACTAGCTGTTTCCTTGAAAATTTGGAGAATAGTGACCAGCTGTTTCGCTGGAGCATAGTAAGCAGAATTTTGCATATCAGGAATTGGTCTTAATGGCACTTCTGGTTTATGTATCCTAGGTAGGTCATACAGCCTCGGAACGTGAGTACCCGTGAGTCTCAAGCCATCATACATGCTAGATGGTATTATATGTTGCACCACCAGTTTCTGCAAAGTTGTGAATAATCCTGTCTCTATTTTATAAATCAGGTACTTGAAAAAGTTCAATTTCTGAAATTTTAACCGACTACCTCAAGTGTATAATATTAATAACAAAGTGAAGGCTCCATATTACTAACGCATAATTCCTCAATATGCACCCACCATTTTTAACAGAAATAAACCACCCGTGTCCAGCTTACTTTTTATCTTTATTTGTTCTTTCCTACCTGTTTGATTGTTTATTCCTTAGGTAAAAATGATTGGTTTGGTGCATTCATAGATTCAGATACTACAGTGAATAACACTAGTAGTATGTCAACAGCATCATTTCCAATTATACGATCAAGATGTGACGTTAAATCTCTGACATACTGTGATCTACATTACATTGATTTGATTACACTAAGTGAAATATTAAACCAGCATCCACGTTTTAAATCAGAATTGAAAAGTTATTTATACGAGGATTTATCATTCAACATACAAGAGGGAGCAGTAAGTCTTGAAAAATTTACTTGTATATATTACTTCACTAATAACAATTGCTGTTGTACTCAGAATAAAATCATGGTACGATTGAACCATTCAACATATAGACTACTGATCCACTGCTTTAGCAGCGGAACCACAAGATTTTATTCCTACCTGCCTATAATTTACACTTTACTCCCTAGATGGTGCTATATGTCATCGTCTGGGTAACGGATATACAACCTTTCGCCTGCTGCATAACTATGTATTCAGATCTTTCCATTTGATTCCAAACTGAAGTGAATTATAAACGAAAGCCTGAGAGACATAGTTCAGCTTTCTATCTGTTTTATCTCACTAAACTACTCATCGAAACATTTCCATAGTAGTCTGTGCCTTTTTCTGATCACTTAAGTTACACAAATGCGCAAGACATTTTTATCAAAAACTCTCGAGAATTTAAAGTGTAACGTAAAGTTAGAAAATAAATTTATATAAACACAGACGAAACTTCACTTTGAAGTGTTGACTAGTTAAAAGTTCACACCTACTGGTGTCAAAACAAAGTCGAACTAATTCGCCTACAGTTTACGAAGACTAATATGAATGCCTGAGTATAGAATGGCAGTCAACTCTCTACCTCACCTCAACTTCATTGACTTTGAAAAGGCCTTTGATAGAATCAACCGAAAAGTAATTTGGCAGGTGGTTTCTTCAACACCACGAAGTGCCACAAATCTTTACCAACCTCATTCAACAACCATTTGAAGACGCCACATGCCAAGTGATCCACAATGGAAAGCTCAGTGATGCCTTTGAAGTGGAAGTGAGGACAGAGAGTAGTAAGACAAGGCTGCCTACTACTGCCCATAATCTTCCTGATTGTAGTGGACTGGACTGAATCATGCAGCAAAACGTGAGAAGCTGTGAGATGTGCATACACTGGCTGGACCGATGAAAAGATTCCAGAATATTTGGATTTCGCCGCTGATGATGATTTATGTCTAATTTTTGTCGCTTAAACTCGAAGATCTGCAGGCAGAACTAAAAAGTTACGGAAGAGGTGAGTCAGCGTAAAAGGGACTTCAAGTGAACTTGAATGTAGAGAAGACGGAGGTGATGAAGACAACAAACGAACAACAGCATCAACAACAAGCACCAATCACCATTAACGGAAGAAACCTAAAGGAAGTAGTCTGTTTCACCTACCTAGGTAGCATCGTCGCAACTACAGGCGGCGGCACACATGACGATGTCAAAACCAGGATCGGAAAAGCAAGATAAGCTTTCACTAATCTGAAATTATTGTGGAGATCTATTGCATTCAGCACAAAGAACAAGATCTCGATTTTAAACACCAATGTTGTCAGTGCTGCTATATGGTTCAGAAACTTGTCGTGTCACGAAAAACACTTGCAACAAACTATAGACATTCGTCAACAGCTACGTACGCTCGATACAGATCAGATGACCAGAAAGAATAAACAAAAAAGAACTCACTCTGGCTGGCTGGCTGGCCGGCCGGCCGGCCGGCCCGCAACGAACCAACCAAAAACCTATCAACCAACAAATATGTAGAAGAAAATGGAGATGGATCAAGCATACACTAAGAAGAACGATTAGGGACATCATGCATCAGGCCAGGACGTCGAGTGGAACCCGCATGAGAAACGACCAGTTGGGTGTCCGAGGTGAGGGTGACATGGAGGAGATGGAATGAGGAAGAAATGAAGGCTTGTGAGCAGTCGTGATGCAAGATCCGAAAGACTGCAGAGGAGAGAGTGGAATGGAGACGTGCTACTGAATCGCTATGTTCCACTATGAACCCGAGGGAAAAATAATAATAATAATAATAATGACAATAATATGAATGCCTGACGTATGTGTAATTTTAGTGAAGGCTACTTATATGAATTGAAATCAGTAGTATATGGAGCAGCATTGAAAAATAAGGAAGTGATAACGATTGACTAGTGAGAATTCAACAGGTCAGAAAACGTCATATGAAGTAGAAATATATGTAGGGTAAGAATACCGTATACTGTCTTAGCCGAGAAAAAGAATACACGTAAATTGACGTTAGTTGTAAATTTTATGAGTTCTATCAATACTGACTATAATTTTTTAAATAAACAACCTTTGCTGATTCATTTTACATCTCTTCAGAGTTACTTTAGACCCATTTTAAACGTGAAATTAATAGCAGAGTTTTCTTTGAGGTCATAGAATTGAAATTTAAAGTTAAATTGCAGCCCAACTTCCTTTCAGGCCGATTTACCCTGATCTCAAATCAATTTTCAAATTTCAGACAATTTAAAATTTCAGTTTCATACAATTAAAGTCAAATATGAACAAAAAATATTCTTTTTCGTAACTTCTTGTCAGCTTCAATAGTTAGTTATTAAATCGTCTTCGTTGGCATATTCGTAGATAGAATTTACGATGAATGCACCTTTTAATGTGTATGGAATTATGATTAAAATTAGAGATACTTCAAGTTTATGGTTAGTAGTCTAACTTATATATGTATGTCACTTGTGGTGATAAGTTGAGTGTAAACTTCACCAAATGACTGGTGGTCAGGTATAGTGACTGTATGGGGAAGGTTAATTAATCATAAAATTCAAGGTTGTATTGTGTCGAATGAGCGTTCAGTACAAAAAATGACATTAAGACAGAAATAGAGTGATTATGTCATTAAAAAGCGGTTAACATGTGAAACGGCTAAGAAAATAAGAGTAGTAATAATGTGAGGGAGAAACCTTTAACAAGGATTTTAAGGTTTACCATAATAAGACGAGAAGAAACTCTCGGTAAAAAAATTAATAATTTTTTTAAATGAACAGTGTGATGACGAAAGCATTAGAAAAGATTAGGAAAGGAATAAAAAGAGGTGTGAGAATACTGTTAAGTCAGTGGAATGCCATAGGAAGAGTAAGACATAAACATACAAAGTCTATGTTTAGTTGATTTTATGGCTACAGCTTCCGCTATATGGAGAATGTGTAAATGAATGGCAGATGGTAAAGTCTTAGGAACGCGATCTATCACATTAAAGCCTGTACTAGCATCAATTTAGTGTCCTGTATCTATTAGATATGCTAGTATAGGACTTCTAACGGATCTGATATCACCCTTTGTAAACCGACCTGGTAGATCCCATCATATTATAGATGCACTTGTCTAATAGTGCAATACAATTTTGAACTTTATGATCAATTAACCTTCCCCATACAGTCACTATACCTGACCACCAGTCATTTGGTGAAGTTTACACTCAACTTATCACCACAAGTGACATACATATATAAGTTAGACTACTAACCATAAACTTGAAGTATCTCTAATTTTAATCATAATTCCATACACATTAAAAGGTGCATTCACCGTAAATTCTATCTACGAATATGCCAACGAAGACGATTTAATAACTAACTATAGAAGCTGACGAGAAGTTATGGGAAGGAATATTCTGCCCTTTTTTTTGCTCCTTATTTAAAATAATCCTTCTGCATTTACTTTCATTATTCTCCCTTCAGCGGAAACTTATGTGAAGTCTTTACAGATTAAAGTTTTCCTCTACTCACTCCACCAATTTTGGGGGATTTTCTTCTTCAAGAAAACAGAATTAGTTGTAAGCAAATACGCCCTACTCTTCCAATTATCTGAACAAAATCGGCAGTTTGTGCTCAGAGATTGAAGTGGTATTAAAAGACTTTCCTCATTCTTGTACTCTTTAACGTATTGCCTGAAGAGCGCCAAATATAGCCAAATATCTCTCGATGGTTTCTGAATGCCGGTTCCTTAAGTTGTTACATAATTTTCCTGACCGTTAAACACCTAGAGAGTGATTAAACCATCTAGCATCGGTCGATAACACGAATAGCACTCGACTAGAAATACCCCCAGCTTTCAGATATATTTGGCACTAAGGATGGATTTAGTACATCGTTTACGATCTAGACATTTTCTGGCATTCATTTCTTCTCTTTTTCTACCGCCAGGAAAACTGTTGCTCACATGATGTCGTAACGGTTCCGGCTATCACACTACAACTGGCTAATGATGATAAAGATTGGGATAAAGAAGAAACCAAACCAAGCGTAATCGAAGACGTGGAAAGTTTAAAACCACCACCATTTGTTTTTGATAATAAAGGTCGAAGTTGTAGTTTAACATCATACGATGTAGAATCTGGATTGTTAGCACATAATTCACGGAATCGGTCGAATTCTGAAATAACAACTATACAAAAGAAAGAACAGGTAGAAGTGAAGAAAGACTGCTTGTTAAATCACCTTCTTTCTTAACAGATTATCATCTGTCTTATTATCCAAGACGCTTACAGTCTTCAGATAAAATTTCACCTAAACGCAAGTTTTTCATTCCGAAATCAGCTAAATCTTCAGGTTGTTCAAGTAACATGGATTTGTCCCAAAAGTCAGTAGATAATAAACCCGCATCTTTATGCACCAAAGTTGTTCAACCGACAATAACGCAAAATGATAATTTGAGCAACTCACCATTTCTAAATGATACAAAAACTGTCAAACCTGAACAAAATCGTCGACATACAGTGCCAACAGTTCAAACACAAAATTCACCGCTCAAGTCAACAAGTTATGGTGGTGTTAACAAACATCATGAAAATCATTGTAACTCTGACTACAATACAGATGACACATGGTTCTACTCAAATCACTCAAGTAGTAGTCATTCAAATGATGAATTCTGTTTTCCATACATTAGATCAACACAATGTTTATCAAAAAACTGTTGCATTGATAATAAAAGTTTACTATCTGGTCAGTGTCTTTCAAACCCAAATTTTTCAATTGGTGTACATGAAAAGTCAAATGTAAATATATCGAAATTTTTAGAAAATGAAATACCACATTTTGTATTTAAGAAACCTGTATGTGAAACTGTACAGCGTCCTCAAGTAAAATCGTGTAGTTACGATATGAACACAATATCAACATCAAATCTGTAAGTTCACTTGAGATATTAGCTCCATTTTCAGATTGTTTTACACTTGAAATTCTGAATTTATTTTATATAATTGCTTCATTCAGTTAGGCTTCTGACATGAAATTGTAAATCCAATGAGAATTCAAGGGATTAGTGCACCTTTTTGTTCATCAGCTCTTATCATTTTCGTAAATGACAAGATCAGAGCGAAAATACAATTTATTTGCTTATTTTGTACTATAGAAGTCACTGGAAATCATGGATTGTAAAATTCGTGCAGATATAAGGATGCAGTTTTATAGTCAATCAGTCCTGTCCTGAGTGGCTCAGTAGTAAAGTACGAAACTTTAGAATTTAGCCAGGCAGATTCAGAATGAATTTTTGTTGCTTCGCAGATATGATCTGCTAGTCGTGATGTTATCCAAAACAATATATAATTAGAATGCTTTCTGTTTATTGATATAAATCTTAAGGTTAACTCTAAAGAATTGAAACAGAGTCAAGTAATTTCATTTGGATGCATAATTCGTAAATATAATGGGCCATTTGTTATCTGAATTGTTTAATGGTAAAGTTTTTGAATTCACCACTGAATGAAATCGACTCCAGTCACCAATGGAACAACAGTTCCTTTGTGAATGCAGGTTACCCTGTTGATGAAGGTCAGCAAGCTCAAAACGGTTATCAGTGATCTTGAACCTAGTGTATATTTGAGTATATGCCTGCCTAGATGATAAGATCTGAAAAATAAATGACTTTGCAACTCTGATTATTTTTTTCATATTAATGAGTCATTTCCACAGCATTAGTTATTCTTGGCCGTGTTACAGTGATTAATACTTAAATCTTATTCGTAGGTGTTGATATACATTTAATAGAATGGATTACTTCATCGAATTCATACGACTGCCAATGTACTTCGTCTCATAGTGGTGCTGGACAGGAACTAAATTTATTTCAAGTTTAGGATTTTTCCACTTAAGTAGGATACAATTCTTTCTCATGACGTTGTCTAGAATGACAATGATTATTATTATTTGTCACTGGGGTTCATAGTGGAATATAGCGATTCAGTAGCACGTCTCCATTCCACTCTCTTCTCTGCAGTCTTTCAGATCTGGCACCACGACTGCTCACAAGCCTTCATTTCTTCCTCACACCATCTCCTCCATGTCACCCTCACCTCGAACACCCAACTCGTTGTATCCCATCTGGGTTCCACTCGACGTCCTGGCCTGTTGCGTGATGTCCCCAATCGTACTTCTCAGTGTATGCTTGATCCATCTCCATTTTCTTCTACATATTTGTTGGTTGATAGGTTTTTGGTTGGTTCGTTGCGGGTCGGCCGGCCGGCCAGCCAGCCAGCCAGAGTGAGTTCTTTGTTGTTTATTCTTTCTGGCCATCTGAGCTTTAGTAGCGAGCGTAAGCGAAGGACAATGAAAATTTCATGATTTAGCCAACCAGCTCAGAGAACACCCTTAAATCAAAATCATACCAAGTTTACTTATTTAACAGGTGATGCTGGATAGTGCTTGTACATATGTACCTCAGCTTCAGTGAGAAATGACACAACTCTCAATACCAATATGTGCAGAATTTTATCACCATTGAAATTGAAGACTAGCAAGTCACAGGTTTCTTATGTTGTGTAAGGAACTTTACATGAGTTTTATCAATAAACCGTCCTCGAAATGTCCACTAGTAAATACTGTAACACTATAGGAGACGGATTTTATTGCCATTTTGCGCCAGCCTGAGTTGATGACTTCTAGTTTAAATCAAATGTAAATAATGGTCAACAGTTTTATTCAAAGGAAAATTTGCGTCGACTTTCTTGAACTGTCGTGAAAATTCGGGTACATTTGCAATTACTTCAAACGTGCTACCAGAATAAAAGTTATTAAATACATGAGATCATCTGATACCTGTCAGACATATTAAGTGATTAATCATTCCACGACTGTCAGCTGACTGCATCATAATTTCGAGATGTTTTGTGCTAAACTTGAAAACATAGTACAATGTCACAGTCCTTTACAGAATAAAGTGGACTTATTTATTTCCTTCATATATCCAAAAAGTAGTTATGATGATTTATTTAGACCAGTTTCGTCTGTTATAAGACTAAAGTTTTATTCAGTTTGATGGTTTTATTCACTTCAACTGATATCATTCGCAGAACCACTAGAAAACTGTGAGCATTCCACAGCCATTTTGTCCCTACATAGGACTCCTCGGAAGTTCGCACGCACGACACTGCCAAGGTTGGAATCCAGGACCAACAGATCTCGTGGCTTGCACATTACTATCCAACCACTGGATTGGATTCCTATGGTCCATATCTTCCTACTTCTGTCAACTTACAGTATGAACTGACCATCGTCCAACGCTATCACCAAGTGTTCGTTCTAATAGTCGACTCAAATGACCCAACATTTCCTCGTGGGATTTTCCAATAAATGTTTTTTTCAATGTGGCCTTAAAAATCTGTTGTTCTTTGATTAGCATCCTATCTATCCATATTAGAAAACCTCATGCGTACCGTTGGTTTACCTCAGAGAATTCATATCAAATAAGAATTCAGAGACTCAAGTGACTAACCACTCAGGTGAGGCAGACTACTGAACTCTTGTACAAAGCATTTCAAAGCCTGTGAATCTTTTTAGGGACTAAAATATAGTAGCATGAGTTGCACTAATGCACTTCAATCTTGGTAAATTGAGTAAAATTTCTATACAAATGATTGCAAAACTATGCTGTCAGAAGTGTTGGAGCCTTAAGATAAAACACTACCAGTATGTCTAGTTTGTGGCTACATTACAGAGCCTCGAAAACTGATGCGACTTTAAAGGCCATCCTAGCAACGACTGAAATAATCAATCAAACTTCTTTATTTAGATCAGGAACGCACCTTTCGTAAAATACAGAACTCTTTTCGGTTAGTTCAATAGTTGTTCGAGCGGTATTTGGATGGGTGACTTTAAAGGTAATTCAAACAATTGAGATAACTAATTACTTTTCTCTCTTTCATGAAAAACTACCTTCTAGACTAGAATTAAGAAAGTTGGTTAGTTCCAACGATAGCCACTTCTTTAGAGTTACACAAAAACTGAAGCCTAGCACTGCCAACCAAGCCATCATGGCTGGATATTAATTGCTAGACCTGAAAATGGAGGGGGACTCGAGCGACTGAAAATAGCACTTTAGCAACTACAGAAACGACCAACAAATTACCTCCATTTCATGCTCAAACCACCTTCACACTTAAAACAAAGAGATAAGTTCGGTATTTCACAGGATACCACGATGGCTTAAGAGTTAACTGGAAATACCAACTTGCTTCCATACCATTGCACTGGTACAAAGACACTGTTCTGTTCTATACACATTACGCGTACAACAATAGCCTAAAAGTTCCATATTAGATTTGTTTATTTGATATAAAGCGCACAGTGATACAGTATTATTTACTTGATTACGTTTCGAGCATAAATTATTGCTCATAATCATATCAATGTAATCACACTTCTTTCGACATCTGATTTTATAGTCCTGTCACCTGATCTCTCTTTGTTTTTTGTTTTTTGATTGGTAGTAAAGTTTTCCATATCTCTGGTATAGGTGTTGCGTCATTCCTATTACATGTGTTGGGTGTGGATTCGATGAACAAAGATTCAGTAATTAATCTCTCTCTCTCCACCTAGCTATATTAGACTTAAGTACAGTGGTTTTGTCCCACCCTATTGTGTGGTTGTGTGTTAACGAATGTAATGCAATGGCTGAGTGTACTTAAGTCTAATATAGCTAGGTGGAGAGAGAGAGATTAATTACTGAATCTTTGTTCATCGAATCCACACCCAACACATGTAATAGGAATGACGCAACACCTATACCAGAGATATGGAAAACTTTACTACCAATCAAAAAACAAAAAAACAAAGAGAGATCAGGTGACAGGACTATAAAATCAGATGTCGAAAGAAGTGTGATTACATTGATATGATTATGAGCAATAATTTATGCTCGAAACGTAATCAAGTAAATAATACTGTATCACTGTGCGCTTTATATCAAATAAACAAATCTAATATGGAACCACATTCTACCACAGTGCCCAAGTTTTTCACTTATATTAATAGCCTAAAAGCCTACTCATAAGTCATATTTTACCTGAAATTTGAGCTATATACTTATATGTTTATACAAATATATATGTACCAAGTCTCGAGCATCTTTTAGACTTTCGCTCAAACAACTTACTGTTCATAACTGGGGTCATTGGTTCGAATTTTAATTTCACCTTCAATCACCACTCTGTATCAGTAACGTATGGCTATGGTAACTCACTGACCTAGTGGGTAGCGCTCTGGCGTTTGAATCGACCGGTCCTGTGTTTGATTCTCAGTCACTAGGAGGTAGATATTTCCGGCTGAAAAGTCACAAATAGGACGAAACGTGCATCCTGGATTCTGTTGCTAACCCTTATCCAGCCTGAATATTTAAATTGAAAATAATATACATATTCATTAAGATATTTTTTGTTCACATTTTTTCATCTAGTTGCTTATATACATCGAACACATCACCCGTCAATTCCATATGGTCATGTACAAATGAATATAATCACAATTCCAACTTCAATCGATTTTCATCACCAAATCGGGTAAATTTACACGGCAGCAGTATGCATGATATGAATATAATCAACGAACTACGTGGTCTAAACAATCGTCTTGAATATATTGAATTACAATTTGGAAAGTTGTTTAAATTATTAGAATCAAAGCAATTTTTGTGAGCACGAAACTTTAAGTATCAAAAATCTTTATGCTCTTTTCTTCAATTACATTTTTGTTAATTTTTCATACTCCATCCATCTGATAAGTTATGTAACAAAAAATTTTTCAGTAGCTTGATTTTAGAGGAGACTCATTGTGTACACACTTCAGATTTCTAATCATATTCTTCACACATCATTAGAAATCATTATTGTTCAACCACATTTTACATATCTCAAAAAGATTCCTAAGTATAATGTACAAAGAATAAATTAGTAATTCAGCTTTTCATGTTCTGAATCACCCATATTGGCAGTGGATGGTGAAATCCAATGAAAAGTGTATACTCACTTCAGAAAGACAGAGTTCATACACAAGGCAGGAATGCATTAAACTGGTAGGAGAAAATGTTGCATGGTAAGTCAAAAGTTAAGATAGGTATCAGTATAAAGAGACATTAAGCAAAGAAATACTTAAGTATCAGAAAGAATTGGAGTTGTCTTTTAGTTGTTCCGATCTCTTTATCATAAACAAAATTTGAAGTGCTTAGGTCCTTCGTGTTCTGCAGTTTGATCTTGAGATAGAAGGCGATCACAGACTTGTTCAAACCTTATTTAAAAGTCTCGTCATCAGTTAGCTATCTGATTTCTCATTTCATTTCAGGTTGAATCATACGGTTATGAAGAGACCTGTCTCAGTGTTTAGTGTATCCACTTCAGAACAATCACTTTTCTTTGTTTCACCAACAATCCCTTCACTTTGCATAACTTTCTAACTAGCTACATACTCGTCTCTCGAAAAGTCTAATCTTTATTCCATCTGAAAGGAATTAGTTCTCTCGTGAGCCAATAATTTGCCTTGTGAGTCTCAAAATTCCTTCTTCTACATAGCCTTATATGTACGTACATACAATAGAACTATTTTAAGTAATTGTAAAGAGTATACAGAATTTGTTTTTCTTAATTTCCCTCGCTTTTGTAATAGTTTTGAAAACAAACAACAATAATCTGTCAGATCACCTAGGTGGTCATTCACGTTGTAAGAAAAACAGAAAATATGATGCATGTGTTCATTGATAATCGATATAATGAATGGTATATGACGTAATGTTGGTCTCATGAAAATTACTTAGGTTAATAATGTTTGAAGTTCAATAGCATAATCATTTGAAGTAGGAGTTCTATACAACTGTGATATGCAGGCAGTTGTTTGTAATGGACTATAGAGCTTCATAGGTCTAAATAAATATCACACGGTTTAGAATCGCAGTTTTTAAAAACATTAGCACGATTTTCTAGATAATTAACATCTGCACAATTACGGCTTAAATATGACAAACTGCTGAAAGTAGACTGATAGAAGCAATTCTAGCTTCGTATTTTCTTAGAAAGAAGTCAAGTTTGGCTGATCCGTTATTTAATAATCATAGCGCATCTGGAAGGAGTTAGATGAGGACGCAGATGGAAAGGGACGATAGACACCACAATACTACTTTATTACTAAAAGCATCTCATAAATGAGGGTAACTTAATCAAAATATGTCTATTTTCAAATCAGTCAACAGTCACTGATCCATCTTAAAACTTTTGAAAGGGATCATTCTGTTGTATCGAAAGAATTCTTCTTAGAACATCTACACCTTTTATAATGAGCGAAGTACTTAATCTTCGAAGCATTTCACAACCAATCCTGTCGTTTCAAAGTTTGGAGGAAAAGTACAAGAACCAACAAACGAATACCAGATTGGTTGAAGAGGCAAGAATAAACGGACTATGTCATTCCATAAAGGCACAGAAATGGTGAAGGCCATTGTAAATATATATATAAACCTTTGTACGTTGTTTATATTCTGACGTTGCCATACGCTTGTTCTTTAACCATCTTTTCTACTCACTGAGGAAGTGAGCGACAATCATTTACGTCTGTCAATTAAACCATTGGGCCCAGAGGAGAAAAAATATAGTAGATGCAATCAGCTAGTAAAATTGATTTAACGGTCACGCGGTATCTTTTCCACCATAAGGGGAACAACCAATTTATCAGGCAGTCAAAGCATTATTAATAACTCCTATCTGAAACGTATCTTGACCAGTAATGGACTGAATGGTTTGAAAAAAATTCAAGCACCGAGTTAGTGTGATTCATCGTATAAACGTGTGTTTTACTTGTGTAATCCCAGCGTAGTGTATTACAACAAAAAATAAACAAATATTTTGTATTGTTCATCAACGTTACGATCTTGATAGGAAGACCCTTCTCAAAACTATGAATCTGACATTGAGTTTTTAGGTTAATGTCCAATTTTTGGTACAGAAGGTGAAATTTATGATCATTCAATTACGTCGAGGTGTAAGACAAAGATCAATTTAATGCAGATAAATGAATTAGCCAATCGGTCAGAGAGGCCTCATCATTTTGTTGCTTTCCGTTTTAAATTACAGTTATTTGACAGAGAGTATCGTAAAGAAAAAGTTACTTAAAATCATTGACTGGAACATTTGAAATCAGTCATGGAAACCGGAATTCACCTTAATGAGATTTTCATCCTATACGATTAAACTACAATTATCAATAAATATGTTCAAAATCCACAAGAAAATTTTAAAGAAAATGAATCTAGGCCATCCTGATGATTTTGGATTCAACTTATCTAAGTTCTGCGACTACTCATGAAACCAGGTTTTGATCTGGTTGAGTTCGAAAATATTGACATCACAAATAAGCGCGAATTTCTTGTTTGACTAAGTTCTTTTAACCTCCAGAATAAGGTTACAACAAGATATACTAGTAAGCAAATAGGCCATGAGATTAAAAAAGTAACAGAAGAATAAAGTAAGGAGTAGCCAGTCCTCTAAGTAAATTTATTTGATGGTTGAAAGTGAACAGAACTGTTGTGATACTGTGTAATAATTTGAAATTCATGAAATCTCGTCAAATCAGTTATTTATATTCATTGTAACACCCTTTTATAGACATTCAAATTCTTTCACCCAGTCACCCTCAATAGTTTAGTGAAAGCGAAGATCAGCATGCAAGATAAATCTACCTAAGCATTTATCTTTAGCAATGAAAGTTTAACTTTTGAATGTTAATAAAACTGACTATGTTAAGTAGCTTATCAATAGCTTACACTAACATTATCTATTAGGCTGCATATTTAACATATGCTTCAACAGTAAAGAAGCTTCCACTGATCAGCTTTCTGAGTTTGATTATCAATTATGCAGTAAAAAAAGTCCCGTTATAAGTTTTAAATCACGTACTGACTTCTTGATACTGACTACAGTTATACTGCTGCAAATTTTACAAAATTCACTAAAAAACTGCTTTCTTACAGAGATTTTCTTTTCTTCATATTTAATGTGTCACTCAAGCGAATTCTGTTTCCTCAATTAGAGTACAAATCTGATTCATTATGTATGTAACAGGAACAAATTACCCATTCTACTTATTAACCAATTCATTCACCCTTACAGAGGGCGCTACATTCAAAACAGTAATCTAATCTTTCTGATTTACGATTACCAGTAAGTAGAGAGGGGGACATCATTTATTGTCTTTTCCACAGAAACGTTTGATGTCCATTTGGTTTGCTTTAGAGGTGTTCAGGAAAAAAACTTATCACTGAAATCATTACTCCCTAGAATCAGAGTGTCTTCTATTTATTTGTGATATGAGGTGAGTTATTCTTACTCGACAATTTCAGATTCTAAATTTTTCCTCTAGATTAGTTGGATAGTAATATACCGTTTTCACTGCAAACACTATTTATTCCTTTTTCGTCTGAGGTAGTTTTCTGTTTAATGGTATCGAATGCTTCAATATTAGTCCGTACGTCGCAAAGATACCAGTGAAGCTTCAACATATCATCCCCAATAGGAAATTTCTACACATTAAATTGATTATCTTATATCTTATAATTCAGTGAACGGTTGAATAAACCAGTTAGAAAACAACGCAGTTGTGACTATACGTTTAAAATTGTGGAATGTGACTTTTTATTACCAATAAGTAAATGAAAAGAAGTGAAAAAATATTATCATTTTCATCATACAGTTTACTCCCATAAATGAAAATGCACCTATTGATCAGATTTTAAAACTATTCATTTAAATTAGTGAGCAATTACAATTCACTAACTACTCATAAACAAGTATATAAATACACGAAATGCACATGCTCAAGGCTGAAGTAGAATATTTTTATTCTGTGCACTTCTAATCACATGGTAAGTTTACTCTGTCAATATACTTGCTTAGCATAATTACATATTACTTATTCGTTATTGTTCGCAATAATCATATGGGGATAAAAATGCTATCTTTGGTTAAGGAAGAGCAACCATCTGTAGTGCATTTCATAATTATATTTATCTCAACTTTGATACAGTAGTGTACTTTTGATCTCAATCAACCAGGCTTATTTCAACCTTAGATGAATGTAATAAGCAGAAAACTGAGTATTCTTATGGCTACGTAGCTGTTATTTTAAATCTGCTGTATTAATTTAACAGTAAATCACCTATGACTTGTCCTGTATTCCTAGTCACTAGATGGTCTAGCAATATTCACCCAGAGATGAAAACAAAAACCAACAACTGCTTAGTTTGAATGTCTCTTATTTTCGGAAATGAAATAAATGTTGTAGTACTGCGCCTGAATATGAATCAGGTGAGCACTGTTAGGTGGTAATTAATTTGAGCCAGCTGATTGAAAGACATACTGGATTTTTGGCACTCATCATATAGGCTAGCATGAGACAACTAATTTTCTTTCGGCGACTTGAATCTGTTGCAAACAGCCGACAGCTGAAATGAAGTGTCGGTAGTAATAATGACACAACACACTTTAAAGATAAATGGAGATTTGGAATCAAAGTAAACAATAAGATGGTGAGTCAAGGAAATACGGGATTAATAATTTAAAATCCTATTTAAAATCAATTACAATTTATATCTGTTGAGGTAAAACATTCTGAATGGCTATGAGTCCACCACTAGGACTTATCCTAGCTGATATATTTATGGTTAATTTTGAATGAACAAGTATAAAATCTGCGACCAAGGAAACGGTATACTATGGGTGTCTCGATGAAACTTCCATTGTTTGTGGTAATGTGAATCATGCGTCAAAATTGTTTGACACCCCTCAACCAAGCTCATCCAGATAATAATTTAACAATGGAATATGAAATTGAAAACAGATTCAATTTCTGAATCTTAGTATAGGACGAAGATTTGATGGTATAGTTGAGAAAACTATCCCCAGGAAAGACAAGTAGATTGGTCAGCACCTCCACTACGATAGTGTCTGTACTCTCAGCTACAAGTGTGGTTCAGTCAGGACGCTATTCGCTCAAATGAAAACGTCGTTCTCAATTGGTAAACAAGAAGAATTTGGAGTAATTGAGAGGACTGTTATAGAGAATGGATATCCAAAGAAATTCATCATGAGGCATGGAAAAGAATTTGTTGGGAGACCAAAAACTCCAACTGTTGAGAAGAAGCCTGTTTTTTTCCACCTAGCATTCAGAGGCTGTGAGACACCTGAAAGAATAAACAGAACGATAAAAGCGGCACTGAGAATGATCTTCCCTGCTATCAGACTGGTCTAAGTTTACGATACAGTGTGCTCAGTAAGAGTGGATAGTAGACAAGTACCCATCTCACATCACCTCCAACTTTGTATATCAATTCATATGTGCTTGTGAAGGCAAGTACACAAGACGGACCGAAAGAAGGGTGTCTACTCCATTTTATTACCATATTCCAAGAATTCTGTGTCTGAAAGGTAGCAAAGTCTTTGAGAGCGCAATCGCCAAGCACCCTGTGGAAACAGGACACCAAATAGATGTTTCGCAATTCTTTAGGATAGTCAGCATACAGTGAACGCCATTTTCAATATGGTTTGCGGAAGCTGTCTCTATCAAACACTTCCAATCTGACGTATGTACCCAGAAGGAGACTTTACGTAACTTTTTATCACTCTGGTAACTGTATGTAAATTTTGACAGTGTATGTATATAGTCTTCCTTGTTTTGGTTGTATCATCTTTTCACTAACTACTGGCTGACTATTAATCACTTTCCAGTTTTCAAGTAACTACTTGAGCTACTAGCTGTTAAACAATGCCTTCACTAACACTGATTTCCATTTGTTGCTGACCCCCACTCCATAGCTTCGAAATCTTCCATCTCATCACATATAAATTGTCTTGGATTTCGACTAAGATTTGTAATTACTAATCGTGTGTTTCCTTGACTTATTTTCTTGTTGTTTATCCCGGATTTCAAATCTCTGTTTATTTCTACCTATTTAAACTGTGTTATGCCATTATTACTATGAATACTTCATTTGCATTTTAAGCTGTTTTATAGCTGACGATAGACCGTGAAATAAAACTAGTAAATGTCTTTGCTCTTGCATTGTTCAGATTTGTCAAAGGAACTAATGGTATGACTTAAATCTGTCATCTATCTTTAACGTTGGAAAGATTACCGCTAATCTGATCAGTTTTTTGAAATAACAGAACGATTTCGGTTAAACGTCATGATGATAAACGTGTCATCGTATTCCAAAACTCGTCTACAAGTATAAAATCCAGGTTGAGTGAGCCTTTTCAACAGATAGGTCCAATCATCTACACCACAGTATTACATCATTTAGCTCATTAAGTTACAGAGTTTATCATACCATTTCGATTCATAATTAGAATTAATCTATTAAACTCTTTATCAACCCCCATTCAAATCATGTTATTAAAACATGTATTGATAAATTCTCATTGTGTCAGTCCAGTTTGTTTTCCTCAATTATCCTACTAAAATCGACGTTGAAAGTTGTTACATGGTTCCTGAATCACCAATAAGCATTCACTTATAGTTTATATTTAAAAATAAACTGAGATTATTATCATACACCTTTTCATCGCTTACTTTGCATACCAACCATCAGTCAATACAACAGAAGTATTCATCATAATAAATACCCATAGACCTTTAAATTGAATTGAGAGTAAGACTTGGGCACTGTGGTAGACTGTAATGCTATTTTTTGTCTATTAATAAAAAAGTTTACTCAGTATTGGTTACTGCATTACGTTCCGGAAACAATTAACTATCCACATTCATATCAGGTAACATCACAACATGGCAATTTATATATTCCTAATTTTCTCATCTTCTTTATGATGACAAGGGTAGTAGAATTTTCCATATATATGTAAGACAAGTGTAGAAATATTTCTTTTCCATGCATTTGGTGTTGATTGGATAAACAAAGATTCGGTTCTCAATCTCTCCCTCCATCCAACTAGGTTTTTAGGAAAGTCTCTCAACCCCACCCCACTGTATGATTGTGTGTAATCACGTGCACAGTTATACCCAAGCTTTCTCTAAATTTCTTATTTTATTAAGATCTACTGATATTCTAACTGACCCTGGTCGACTACTTTGACCAACTTATTTATTTGACCTTGCAATCATTGCAGGGGATTTGGTAAATCAAATTATTTTGCCTAATTGCATCAGTAGGATATACTATACTACAAAGCTTGTTTCTAACCGAGTTTGTTAGCTCAAACACCACTTTAATCCCTACCTTATGGAGAATTCGTAATGCTTCTGAACTGCATTTCTTGTTTACTTACACCACAGAGACCAAAACGTTATCTAGTAAATGATACTCTTTCACTCTGTGAAATTTTTAATAAACAGACTAAAATGAATCAATAAGAGTTTATCAAACGTCAGTTTTTACTGTAGTTGAAGTACCTTGACTTTTTGACACACTACTTAATGTAGTTTATGTTTGGTCCTCTTTAAAACTGGACTGATCATTAAACTACTTCTAATGTAAGGACCAATATAGTTTTTAGTAGCAAAAACTATTCTATATTTTCAAGGCTTTCTTGTATATGATCGGCTTGTGTATGACTTTCGGTATTGATATACGATTTGTTTGTAAAATTCACTGTTTTAAAAAGGAATGCATGAAAGTTGCACCGCCATTTCAATATTAAAGCATTCTTACTACGAGAACATTGACAAATAAAAGTGGATGACATCAATCAAGATGGGTAGAAAATGAGGTTACACCAGTTTGATCAAAAAAGAAGTGGTGCTTTTGACTCACTGATTATTCAGAAAACATTCTATGCTATCAGAACGGCAGAACGGCTGCAACGTGGAATTGTAGACAATTTTTATATGACTTCCCGAAACAAAGAAGCATGTATCTTGGACTATTTTGTCCCTCAGTACCTAACACATAATATTAGAATATGATATTTCTGAAATAAATTATCTACTACTGGTTTAAAGTAGTATAACTATGAAAATTAAGAAGTAGGTAGAGCAATCAGAATATAAAGTTCGTCTGAATCATTTGATGTATTCACACTATACATTTGGAATAAACCCACCGGTAATGTTTTGTTGAAGTTGTTTTCTTCGAATTGGAAGCTGATCAACTGTATCACAGCATGATAAAATGAAGTAGAATGATACAATTCAACATTAGCCTTAGTATTCAAATCAACTTATCAAGTTGGATTAGTGTAGAAGGTGATATGATTTCACACTAGTCTTGCTTTTTTATCCTTATTACTACTGCATCTCTCAAGTAACTAGTTCTTTTATTTACCCCCAACCACTTACATTTTTTCATTTCAAATATATTGACTAATAAATGTGTGAGATTTTTCAGACTGTATTGCACAGATGCGTCACATCATTATGAAAAATTTACTTTTCTAAATAGGGACTATTGAATTAAAAATGTTTACATCCAGTTTTGCTGTGGAAGATCGTATCGATATTATAAATTGCCTATGAAGTAAAACCCAGTATTCTGTTCCTACTTTAAGGTATTCATACAGCAGTAAAGTCAGCTGAAAAACCGTTGAAAACAAACAAATGTTGAGTATACTCTTTATCCAATTTGTTAGTACGCATCCACTGAATGAAGATCAGTGGGTTTACCAAGAGATATGAAAGTTTTTGATTCGATCACACATTACGTCATGGATTTAGACTGCTGAGGAGTTTAGGACTGTAATGAAACATATGTCAACTTCTTGCCGGTCTCTTCTAACTGACACCAGTTTATAATGAAAAACCCGATGAAATTCATCAAATTTCCACAAGCCTCCTAACTTTACTTTTGGATTTGAATGAAAAATGATTTCGGCTTTTTATCTATTCTCAATCCACCATATTGAGAATGTGCTA